GTGAATGAAACTGAAGTTTTATGTTTGTTCCTTCTGTCCCGAAGAGCCGCATCTACTTGTGTCAGGCGCGGGGGAGTGGCTCACCCTGTTGGATGTCAGCCGGCTGAGCACGAAACACGTCGCTTCATGGGAGGTAATTAGTACCCTCGGCAGGAACCGAGTAGTATGAGATGTTGTAGTACTAGTACTTGTGAAATTGAATCCGATTCTGTTTAGCTTGTAATAATAATATAATGCCTTCCCTTCTTTCGTGATCTAATCATCTAATATATTGCAGCACGCCAACCCCGAGATGAACATATCTGGTGTGGCATGGAGCCCCTCGCTTAATGTTATTGGCTACACCTCAACTGAAGGAACCACGGGTACAGACCGCTTAGCTTTTCCATTCTAGTAGTATCATTTATAGCCTGGGCAAGCAAGCAATCGCACCTTTATAGGAGTATGTTTTATATTCAAAAAAATGCAATCGCAAGCACCAACACAGTGTTATGGTCTATCGTGCAGCACTATTGGATTTGAGGCGCAAGCAGCCTGCGGATAGGTTACCTTTTTTGCTTGGTTTTACACATCAACTGTTGCTGTGCTTTCACTTCCGTTTTACTAATAAATGTGTTTGACATATAATACATCAATCTCAGCACGGTGATACAGTCCAGGCGCTCTTACTCAGACATTATCTTTAACCCTAATAACCCAGATCAAATGGCAGTTTCTTGTGATGATGATGATTCCAGCCTTCCAACAGTCACGGTAACCACTCATCTTTCCTCGTGCATTTCTTTTGTTATTAGTCAGCGTCCGTAGTAATAAAGCTATTGGTTGCTCTGAAGATATTTGATATTCGGAACATGACAAGGGGAGTTGTTCGACAGTTTTGTGAGCAAGGTAATTTGCTACTACTCCCCCCAAAGTTCATTTACTTAAACTGACAAACTTGGTTCAAAAAAAGGAGTTCGGTGTCTCTCATGGAGCGCTGCCAACGATCTGATTCTGCTGGGAACGAAATCCGGCGTGGAGATTTGGGACGACAAGCAGGTTGGTCTGCGTGGTGATTTCCTTTCTTTTAGGTGAAAAGTATGCGTGGTGATTTAATGCCATTTGTTACTGCAGCTGCTTTCCCAGGAGACGACGGGCCCTTGCCTCGACCTCGACTGGAGTCATACGGAGGCCGGTTGCTTTGTCGTTTCCGACGAAAAGAAGCTGACACTGTACGAGTTCAAATAGTCCTTCCTCGTCATTTGCATGGTTAGAGCTTCAGGTATACACTAGTATAACTGTAATATATGAATGCTCCCTCTGTGTGATATCCTGGCTTCTCTTTGAATGAAAGCCCAGCCTGAGCTTGTATCTTTTCTTCTTTGCACAGGGGACGGAAAATGTGATCGCCGCTGATAGTTGGAAAACGCAACTACGATAACTCTGCTCCCAGCTTGGTACCAAAAAGAATCGGACGACCTGCCTGCACTTTGATCCTTCGTATGAATGGTTCGATTTGTAGCGTCGTATCGTATGATGATCAGACAAAAACTATGGTGCGCATCGCAACATACTTCACATGCGACATTCCACTGTAGGATAGTTAGTGTAATGGGTGCTGCAGTTTGGCCTACACTACTTCACATGCGACATTCCACTGTACGATAGTTAATCTGAATGGGTGCTGCAGTTTGGCATTTGGCATGGATGGTATGATACGAAG